CACTCGCACCCGTGCGCGGTCCCCCGGTGCTGTGCCTCAGTCCGAACCTGAACCTGGCTTTACGTCGGAAATCACTGAAATGGATCTTTGCAGAAGGAAGAGCTGCTGGGAAGCAGCTGCACCGGGGCAGGTTTAGCTGGAGCTGAGGAACAATTCCTTGCCCAGAGGGTGCTCAGGCATTGGAACAGGCTGCCCAGGGCAGGGCTGGAGTCACCGTCCCTGCAAGTGTTCACAGCCCGGGTAGACGAGGCCTCAGTGCCAGGGGTTAGTGGTGGCCTTGGCACTGCTGGGAACGGTTGGACTTGCTGATCTCAAAGGCTTTTTCCAGCCTGTGTGACTGGAGACAGCTGCGTGCTGGGAGCAGCAGCAGCGGGCTGCACAATGGCCTGGCTCGGCCTGGAGGAGAGCAGGAAGCGCTCTGGTGGTGCTGGTGCAAAGGCTGCCTGTGGTGGGCTTCCCCTGCACAGGGAGTGGATCCCCATCGCAGCTGCCTTCTGCTTCCATAGCCTGAGGACGAGGAGTCCTGTGAGTGGGACAGTGCGTCAGAGAAGTCCCATCGAGGTGCCTGGCAGAAGTGGTTTGCAGCTCCCTCCCACTGCCTTGCTTCCTCCTGAATACAGAAATTCTAAAAAGAAAGGAAGCTGCTTTATGTTTTGGCTGCTGGAGCTTGGTTTGGTTTGGTTTGGTTTTTTAAATTGATGAGTAGCATTGCCTCCAGTGTAGCCCTGCCCCTGGATTTTTTCCGCTGTGGAATATTGTGTAGCTTCGATGTGCACTCTTCTAAACACATTATCATTATTTCAAATAAAGGGACATCTTGACAGCCGAGATTGCTGGTGGCCCTTCAGTTTGTCTTTTTGGAACAATAAGGGAGAAGAGGCAGGTGTCAGAGTCACTGGTGACAGTGTCTGGATTACTTAGTGTTAAGAAGCAAAACTAATTCCACTGATGGATGTTGATGTTTTCGTGCCCTTTGTAGAGACGGAATGTATGCGATTACCCTGTACAAATGCTAAATGCAAGTGGTTTCAAACGGTAATAGAAGCAGAGCACATGTTGTTACTCATGGGACATGGTGCTTCAGAATCTCTCTCTGGAGTAGTCACTGACTAAAATACAGTATAATTCCAAGTGTCCTTTATCTCTCAACTTCAACTTTCTTTTGCTGAGAGAGGAGAAGGGATATTCAAACGCTGCGTTCAGCGATACCTGCGGGGCCAGACTCGGTGCTTCCCTTCTTTTTATATATGTTTTTAAACCTGGTATGGCAGAGTATTCTTTATAATGACAGCAAAACTTATGCCTTGATTGTTTTTTAACGTTTGCTGAAAGGTTTGACTAGCTGCCTGTGCTCTGTCTCCTTAGTTTGTTTGCTTACCCCGTGTGCTGCGTGACATCGTGGGAAACTGGAGAATGTCTCCAACTGGCAAACCCACAATTAATCGAGCTTCCAAGTGTCTGTTTCCAGCCTGATTGGTTTTGTTTGAAACTGTTGGACATCTGAGATGATTCTGTGGCTGTCACCAGCAAGAATATGCAGCTGTTTAATGAGGCAGTGTCACAGGCAAAAAGAGTTTACAGATGGGAAACTTGAGTCAGTTTGATTTATTGCCACTTCTAATCACTGGTTCTGCCATGGAAAGAGGAAAACAAGCAGGAGGGGAGACCCACTGTTGTCTGTGCAGAGCCTCTCCTCCTGCCACAGGTTACACTGGGGTGGTGGGTGCTGCAGGAGGCTGCGTTGGTGCGTGGCGGTAGTTTATGTGGTGGACTCTGCAGCTTAGGAGCTGCAGCACAGGACAAAATGTGCTCTGGTGTGTACTCAGGTGTGCGTTGTCACATTCACCAGAGGAGCAGCAGTAGCACCAGCAAAGTGGTTGGTTTTAACACTGTTCTTAATTTTGCCTTATTCTGTGAGCAGTTGGAATTCATCTGATGTGAGATTATGCACTTTGGAAACAGCCTTGAAATGAACTAGGGGGTACCCGCCTGGGCAGCGCTAGGGAGAGGTAGAGCTTAGTACTTGCTTCGGAGCCTTTGTCTCCCCAGCAGAGGAGTAGCAGCCATCATCATCCATCTGATGCCTTTCTTGCTTTCATGGTTACTCGCTGCTGTCAGGTGTGTGTTCTCAGGGTTGCCTGGCATATCCATGGTTTTGGTTAAAGACATTTTCTCTGGAGCTGGAGAAGGCAGCATTCTTAGCACCCTTTGTGCCACGGGTTCTGCCAAACACGACTACGCTCGGCTCTGGCTACACGGTTGCAGAGCAGAGTTGCTGTTACTCTGATGGGAACATCTCGGTTCCGGGTTCTTCACACAAGACTATCTTTTCCATGTCTTATCTCCAGGTGGAAGGCCTCTGGTTTGGTGGCGCTTAGGTTATTGCATCTCATGACACTATGTTAGCCAGTTTGTAAAGCACAGCGGGGCGGGGGTGTGGGGTGGGACAGGGCTGAGTAGACACCTCAGCTGGACATGTTGGGGTAGGAGGGTGCATCAGGCTCGTCCTTGAGTCTCGTGGGCTGAATGCACATCATGTATCTTAGTGCACTGTAGTATCTCTACTTCTTCAGCTCCTTCCTTCTTTCTTCCACCTCAGTTGTATTTTTGCTATGTTATAGTTGCAGTCATCTTTAAAGATAGCTATAGAGATGATAACCTAAACGTGACTAATAATTCTTTCTTTATATATAAGTCAGAGTGAATAACAGGACCTGTGATAGGTGAACATGAGAAAGCAAGGAGGCTTATCGCTGGTGATCTACATGTCACCTCTGCTTGTTTCTGCCACTGTAATGGCAACACCTGATCAGGTTCTTACAGCAGGGTGACAGGGCAGGGGCAGGAGTCAGCAGCATTTGAGCTGCGCAGGATAGCCACTTCAGCTGGACATGGAGCTTGTGTCTGTGAACACAGTGAAGTGCTTGTGATGCCCGGTGCCTGGAGGGGCAGGGCTGCTTCCTGACTCCAGCCTCATCTGCTGTAATACCTTGGGGTCATGAGCCAGTAGAAGTGACAGGGATCCGGGGGCTGCAAGGGTAAACCTGGCTTCAGGAGGCCGTTACTTACAGTTTGTGCAGAGCTGGATAGATTTTTAACCCAAAGCTAAAGTAAGGGTCGTGGGTGGAAAGGGAGAGGAATTGTGGGAAGTGAAGATAATTATAGCTGCTTTCTGTACCTATAAAGACTGTTAATTTACCTCCTGAAGAGAACAGCCTATAAAAATAGCAGAAATATCTGTATGTTATGTCTGTATTTACTGAAAAGGGCTGGGGAAAGAAAATTAGCACAGTGCTAAAGTACTTTTGTAGCTCACCTGTAGGATGGTAAAATATTGGTGTGGATACTTTTGGAAATGATGATCTTTTCTAGCAGTAGGGGTGAATGGCCAGTGTGGTTTTCTGTACTTCCTACAGTTATTCAGCAGGCTTTCCTTCCTTCCTTCCTCCCTCCCTCCCTCCCCCCTGTTGTTGGAAATACTGGAATCTGGAAAGAAGGGCTAGGTATGACTTGCATAAAGCTTGTCATAAAAGAAAGGCTGTTGTATTAACTGCCCTCACCTTCAAATTGTGTGGTGTTTGAGGTCGGAAGGCACCTGTGAACATCTCTAGTCGAGCTACCCAGTGTCATCCCCAAACAGGGTCAGCTGGAGCAGTCCAGTCAGGTCTGAGGGTGGAGCCTCCACCACCTCACTGGGCAGCCTGTTCCCCAGGGCTTGTTTTGTTCCAGGTTTAAGTAGAGTTTCCTGTATTTCAGCGTGTACCTTCAGAGCTGCCCCTGACTCCTCTGAGAGGAGTCTGGCTGCTTGTCTTTGCTCCCTCCCATCAGATACCTAGACACAAGGATAAGATACACCCCACCTTGCCCCAGCTTTCTTGAGAAGCAGCATGTTTGCTGAGTACAAATGCCAGGTCTGATCAAATCAGTGGTACTCTGGCAGTAACTTACCTCCACCGAGAGCCAGGAAAGTAGATGCTAAGGCAGCACTTGTAAGCTTAAAGTATGCTTATGAGGTTTCTCAGGAGTTACTCATACTGCCTCCCTCTGGAAATAACTAGTGCACCATTTCCTCAATTTGCAAATGATGAACTGTGGCATGTTGTTTGGCAGGGTGGCGTTTACAGGGTATGTGAGATGAGCAGGTTCTCCCACCCGTGCTCTTTTTGTTCTCCTTAAAAAAACTACTTCTGGTAATACTAAATCACCAAACAGTTTGAAGTTTCTCGTTTCAAGTCTCTTATCCAGGTCTCCTCCTGCACTTGGGGCACACTGTGGCTGACGTAGGCCTGCTCTCAGGATTTGGGAAGTGATCAGTGCTGTTGCTGAGGTTCACTTCTGGCGTTCTTTCTTTCAGTTTTATTTCCCTGATTCAGAGCTCAGTTTTGTCTGTAGCCATGGTGCCTTTGAGTGGCAGAAGTACTCTAAAGCTGTTGGACAGACCAGGCGATTAGACTTTGCCATGTTTTGAAATGACGAGAACTTCATTTCCGTGCAACATTGTGTGGTCTTAAGCATTTTTCTCAAGGAAAAGGAACTAATTCCGCAGAGAAGAGGCTGTCTCTGCTCTCAGCATTCTTGTTCCCCAGGCTGGCAGTAGAAGTGGTTTATTTTTCACTCTGAGATGGGAGAGTGCTTTGTATTCTTCAGGGGATTGAGACACTGCAGGATGTTGGTAGCAAAAGGCTAAAAAAAGGAATGTCACTGAGCACCAGTTAGCTTGAGTAACTGTATTCCACGTTTTGAGTCCCGTTCCATTCCTTAATCCTTCTGTTTGTACTGTTCCCATGCATTGCTCGTGACAGTGGTGGATTATTAGATGTTTTAATCACCTGGTTTTTCTTGTGTTTTAGCCTCAAGGAATAGGTTCTCCAAGTGTCTACCACGCTGTGATAGTGATCTTCTTGGAGTTCTTTGCCTGGGGACTCTTGACAGCACCTACCCTGGTGGTAAGTGAGACAGGCTGGAGATTCTTCTCCCTGTATCGGAGATGGGGTGTTTGCTGCAAAGGCACTGAACATCTTCTGAAGTAAACGACAGTTCTGTAGCGTTGAGCCCCGTCGTGCAAGTGGGAAGTTTTGTGTTTTAGATTCCTGGAACCAGCAGTGTAATGGGGCAGCAGAGCCGTTTATGTGCAGTCTGCTAATGCTTAAGCTGACGTGTAAATATTTGCTGGCTCGAGACCTGTGGGACAGTAATGAAATCTCTTCCCTTTCGAGATGCTACAAAAATTTAGCACATTACAAATGTAAGGACAAAAACACACTTGAAATTTGGTCAGATTTCAAGGGAGGGAGGTACTTGCTGACCTGGCTGTGCTTTAAACGGAGGAGGCTTCAGTGTGCAGACCCTGTTAGACCAGTCAAGAGCTTCCCTGTGACTAGCGAGCCAGTCATCCCAACATGTTTGTACCAAATTATTTTCTAATGGAGCTGGTTGCTTTCCATCTGGATTTAATCTCTGAGAGTGACACATGCTTACAAATTAAAAGGAGCAAAGGCTTAAAGATCTCCAAGCAGGCTCCGCCTAAAACGCAGTCTTGGTGCAGCCGACGTTGACCGCAGACAGTCTCCTCCTGGAGATGAGCTGCACTTTGGTCACTAGATGGTGTCCGTCTCATGTGGCACAGTCAGACTGAGGGGTGCTCCTGTGTTCACCTGCACAGCCGGGCTCTAGCCACCGAGTGGAGAGGCACTGAGAACGAGGGGGTCTCTCCTCTCCCTCCCCAGGCCCCACAGGTGACACAGTAACACGTGGAGGCTCTGGCCTGAGCCTGTTTTCTAGGTTCTCTGTGGTGTGTAGATTTCGGGCACTGAAGCTGGATGACATGAATCCTTCCCCAAGTGCAGAGGGAACTGAGGCCTCTGTCACATAAAGCTAAAATCTCAACGTGCCTTCCACGTGAATTAAAGATTAAATAGATTATTTGTGGTTCCCCTTTTTTTTCTTTCTCTGTTCTATGAAAATACAAAACTCCTGTGGTTGTGCCACCATAGATTTCGGACACATCAGGAGCAATGTTTGTAGTTAATACCTTGTGTAAATGACAGTGTTTGTGTTGTTTCTCCAGGTTTTGCATGAAACCTTCCCAAAACATACGTTTCTAATGAATGGTCTCATTCAAGGAGTAAAGGTAAGGTGACAGAAGTTTCTAACACGTACAATGTAAAGTGGGTGGTGGGAGGAATAGGGAATTGACTGCAAGAAGCATTCCAGAGGGTTTTCAGTAGAGCTTTCACAGTACAAATGAACCGAGGGAACACATTGTTGCTAAGAAAGCAAATCTGCAGCACTTTACTTCTAGTTAGACATTGTTTGGTCTGAACCCACTGTTTGGGGTCAGCGAATGAGGCGGCAGTTGGCCAGCCCCAGGTGACACACACGGTGTTACGACTGGATGGTGGTTTACTTGGAGCTTGTTGCTGCAGTGGGGCTTTTCCAGTTGCTTACATTTATGTGAATGCAAAATACATAAAACTACAAAGCACAGTTCATAAACCTGAGGTGCCACTGGATCATCTTTTGAACTTCGTGTGGTTCTGGGGTAACCAGTCCCAAACTGGTGTGTGTAACCAGGCGCAGGTAACACTGGACCGTGTTGCCTTCAGTGCATTGCACAAGAGTCACCAGCTTTACTAAAAGCAGAGCCCCAACTGCTGTCAGTTTGTGGCAGGATTTGCTGTCACTGTTCTAACCACTTCTGACCGTTCTAACAGGAAATGTTGTGTTCCATTTAGGGCTTGTTATCCTTTCTCAGTGCCCCGCTCATCGGTGCCCTGTCTGATGTGTGGGGACGGAAGTCCTTCCTGCTGCTAACAGTGTTTTTCACCTGTGCACCAATACCACTGATGAAGATCAGCCCGTGGTTAGTAAATGCTTTCACACTAGATCTGCTGTTTCTGGACAAGGTTGCTTGTGTTTGTAGCATTGTTGGTAAAATACTGTTCGTGCTTCATGGAGGGTTGATGTTTTTGTTTTACTTTGGTGCAAAGCTGGGAGAACAGAGTTGAACTGGAATAGCTGCCATGAGGCCAAATGCCTTGCTCAGAATTTTAAGAGCTGTAGGTTTTGAGCTCTGTGCTGAAGGCGCCGCTTCCTACTTCAGGTACATCTGCCTGGGATGCTAGGATACTGGATTGATACTGGGATGCTAGGATACTAGATTGATACTGGGATGCTAGGATGCTAGATTGATACTGGGATGCTAGGATGCTAGGTTGATACTGGGATGCTAGGATGCTAGGTTGATACTGGGATGCTAGGATGCTAGGTTGATACTGGGATGCTAGGATGCTAGGTTGATACTGGGATGCTAGGATGCTAGATTGATACTGGGATGCTAGATTGATACTGGGATGCTAGGATGCTAGATTGATACTCGGATACTAGATTGATACTGGGATGCTAGGATGCTAGATTGATACTAAGATACTAGAAGGCTCTCCAGTAAACTCTTCAGGTAGCTCTGTGAGCCTTTGCAGCCTTCACTGTGGCCACACATAGTTTATGGATTCCTCATCCCTTTTCTGGGAAGTAGCCTGTTTCTACGTGTAGATTCATGTTGCAAATGGCATGTGCTGGTGTCTATAGCATAAAGATAAGGCTCGTGTTGACCTCTCAATGACCAGATTCTCAAAGTACTGAAGTTCCCATTTGCTTTGGGTCACAGGCATCCGGCCAAAGGTAAGTCCAACACCTCATCTCCTGCAAGTACTTAACCCCAGCAGCTTTCTGTAGATGTTACAGAATTCCACTGCTTGTCCTCGGGGCACTGAGGAGCAGCTACACAGCTGTATCGAGACACGTTCACTTGGCCTTTATCCACGTTTAACCTGGTATTTGTCAGGGAAGGTTGAGCAAGGTGGTTTATTGTTGAAGTGTGAATAGAGGCTTTTTGTTCCATTTACTGTTCTGAGGGGTTGTTTTGCACTGTTCTAGGTGGTACTTCGCCGTGATCTCTGTCTCCGGAGTGTTCGCAGTGACGTTTTCGGTGGTTTTTGCTTATGTAGCAGACATAACCCAAGAGCATGAAAGGAGCATGGCCTATGGCTTGGTAGGTATTTTTAGGGCTCTGTTCCTGTGGTCTTCAGTACTAAACCCTTCAGGAAGTGAAGCTTTTCAAAGTTGTATTCTTGTTTCTTCTGTGGCAAGTTGCTATTCGTTTGGAGTAGGGTTTTTCTGTTGAATTGGTTTTGTTGTCCAGTCCTGTGTCTCTTGAATATTCTGCTTCTAACTTAAACCATGACCTGTTGAAAGCTGTCTTTCATACATCTGTCCTAACAGTTGCTATCAGTGTTAGTGATGTAGTTTGGGAGGCTCTAGTTACTCCTCCATTGTTTCTCACACTCGTACTACTCCATCATCTTGTCAGAACTCTGACCTTTTATTCCTGGATGCTGTTGGAACTGCTGCTGTGTGACAGCTCGGTGCTGCCTGCTCCAGTCTCCAGACACTGCTGCAGGCAGAGCCTAATACTTTGTTTGTCCCATGTTCTTACACCTCCTCCATTTCTCCGTGTCTCCCAGTGACCTGCCTGGTCTCGGGGCCCTCAAGCCCCGCACGTTACAGAGAGGCACAATGGGAACTGAGTAGTTTCTTTCTGCCTGTACACATCAGGGTTTGGGATATGTTGGGAAAGAGCCACTGCTACCCCAGTGTCCCAGGAGAAAGGTTACTTTCAGTCCCTACCTGATGGAAATAGACCTGTGAAAACGGGGGCAGGTGGGTAACACACTGTTGACCTGTGGCTAAATCTTACCTGCTGTTCCTTGTTGTAGGTTTCAGCAACTTTTGCAGCAAGTTTAGTTACCAGCCCTGCTATCGGTGCCTACCTTGGTCGGGTCTATGGAGACAGCCTGGTCGTGGTGCTGGCTACAGCCATAGCCCTGCTGGACATCTGCTTCATTCTCGTTGCTGTTCCAGAGTCGCTGCCAGAGAAGATGAGGCCAGCGTCCTGGGGAGCACCCATCTCGTGGGAACAGGCTGACCCCTTTGCAGTAAGCTGTTACAACGTGGGGTGTTTTGTGAGCTGTAAACCTGGAGCTTTTGAGACAGGGAAGAAGGTGAATTTACTACGTTTCAGGCTTGAAAAACAAGGCCCAGATCTTTTCAAGTTTAACTTTGTGTTGCTGCTGGTACTTTGCCGGTGACCTCACTGAACATGCAGGGAAGGTTCTGGTGGTACCACAGCACAGCCCCAGGAACTGACAAGCTTTTGGGGTTCTTGCTTGATTGCTTGTTCAATATGAAGATTAAATGGTTTCTAATACTATTTTCTTGCCGTAGTCACTGAAGAAAGTCGGCCAGGACTCGATCGTGCTGCTAATCTGCATAACAGTCTTTCTTTCATACCTCCCAGAGGCAGGGCAATATTCCAGCTTCTTCCTATACCTCAGACAGGTAACTGGACATTTTGATACGGATTTGAACAGAAATGAGTTTACAGGGAAGTCTGCAGCGCTGATGAATGAACACAGAACGTGTCGATAGCCAGTCGTTTTGCAGCTTCCAGCAGATTTAAGTCCTCTTCCTGTTCTGGTCTTGTCTCTTTTTAGAGACAAATTGTTTTCTACTTATGCCTGGTTTTATGTATGTACTTGCTTGGTTTAATGGAAGTTAAAAACCAAACAAGCCCCCACTCAGCGAAACCCTCACCTTTTCTTCTAAGTTAGGGAGGGGTTGAGTAATGCCAGTTGTGTGCAGTGTATGTTTGATGTTTGTGACACCATGATACGTACTTCACTGTTCATCATTCAACTGCCTTTTCTTAACACAGATAATGGGATTTTCATCTGAAAGTGTTGCAGCGTTTATAGCAGTCCTTGGGATTCTTTCCATTATTGCACAGGTGAGTTCCCACTTTGCATTCCCTTGGCTTGGTGACTCCGGAAGAGCCAAGCGCTGTGCTTCCACAGTGCTGCAGGTCCCTTAGATGAAGACCCAGCCAGGGCTTGGTTCCGTAACGTCCAGAGTGCCTTGTGTTGGGAAAACCAAATCCTTTGTGCATCAGAGAAGAGCAGACAGATTGTTCATGTTATTTCACAGAATCACAGCCTGGTTTGGATTGGAAGGGACCTTAAAGCTCCTCCAGTTCCAACCCCTGCCATGGGCAGGGACACCTTCCACTAGAGCAGGTTGCTCCAAGCCCCTGTGTCCAACCTGCCCTTGAGCACTGCCAGGGATGGGGCAGCCACAGCTTCTCTGGGCACCCTGTGCCAGCGCCTCAGCACCCTCACGGGGAACAACTTCCTTAGGTCTAACCTAAATCTCCCTTCATTCAGCTTAAAGCCATTCCCTGGTCTTGCACCACACTCTACACAATTGCTGGGTTTTGGTGGAGGTTCCTGAATTCTTGGCAAATGCTGCTTATGGAGAGTTTCACTTGGCTTTTGAACATTCATTTGTGTGTGTTTAACATTTAGAATGGGATGTTTCGAGGTGTTTTGGTTTTTGAGCTATGAGCTGCCCGTAGGGAACACTTCAGAGTGAAATGTGTTCTCTTGGAAACGTTGCATTTTCTCCTCTGTTCCCCTGTGCCAGACGATAGTTCTGAGCTTACTGATGCGATCCATTGGGAACAAGAACACCATCCTCCTGGGCCTCGGCTTTCAGATACTGCAGCTTGCGTGGTACGGCTTCGGCTCGGAGCCGTGGTAGGTGGATTGCACTGAGGTGTCTGGGCGACCCGGCCATTCCCTGCATGTTATCCCTTATCCAAGGGAGCGTGTGTGTTTGTACACGTGTGAACACGTGTGTGCTCACGCGCAGCAGGCCCCGGACGGCGCGGTCACCGCTGTGTGCGTGTGTGTGTGTTTGCAGGATGATGTGGGCAGCCGGCGCCGTGGCTGCCATGTCCAGTATTACCTTCCCAGCTGTGAGTGCACTGGTGTCCCGAACGGCTGATGCTGACCAGCAGGGTAAGTGCTGCACCTTCCAAGTGTCGTGTCCTTCTGGCGCAGGGGGGAAACATTGGACAAGGCTCAACAGCAGCAAAATCAATGGCAAACTCCATGTACTGTCCCCTTCCTCACGTTTGACAGACGTTTGCTCTGTTGTGCGGGTCGCACACAGCAGTTTCCTCAGTGAGACACCAAAAATACTTGATTACAGGCAATTTTTCTGCCCCCCCTTGTTTATTGCTACCCAGCATTGCAACATCTTTTAGAGACGCTTTTCTCCTCGCATCAGTTTTAAGTGACTAAAGTCCTGCTGCTCCATTAAAAATAGTTCGTTCTAGATGTGTAAATATAGGTAATACCGGTGTGTTTTACTCTTTCCAGGTGTTGTTCAAGGGATGATAACAGGAATTCGAGGCCTGTGTAACGGCTTGGGACCAGCACTTTACGGGTTCATATTCTATATCTTTCACGTTGAATTGAATGAACTCCCCATGTCTGAATCGCCGTCAGGAGGCAGCGTGGTCACACAGTACCATTTACAACAGGTATTCGGGGTTTACTTCCTGTTCCCAAAAAACACAAACTGGGAGGAGAGCCTGTGCCCACCGGCTCCTGAGTGTCACCTTCTGTGACCTACTGAATCGTGTAACAAGAGCTTCTTCGCTTGCTCTTGCCAAGGGCGGTTGATCTATTTGGTTGTACCTGGATGGGTTTAGTTTAACTTTCAGAGACCATAGTTGGGCAACTGATGACCCCTGTAAGGAGACTTGATGGAGGGAAGGGTGGGCTGGTAACAGCAGCGTTCTGATCTTCCTGGCTCCCTGGCACTGTGTTTGTGTTTCACGTGTTGCAGGTTTGGTTTTGTTGCCCTTTAACCGAGCAGTCTGTATTTATTTTAGCTCCCGATACTGATTTGTTGAGGAGACTCAACAGAAAGAACTTGCACTAGAAGAGGAAGTGAGGGAGCATTAGTAGGAATCATCTGCTCCCTCTTGTAAATCTTGGCATGTTCTGTCCTTTCCCCCATGGGGACATATCCTGTAGTGCTGAGCGTAGTTCTGCCCACTCTGGGGGTGCAGAACCATAGAATGACTTGGGTTGGAGAAGACCTTTAAGCTCACCCAGTCCAGCCATTCCCTGCGCTGCCAAGGCCACCACTAACGCGTGTCCCACGTGTAACTGGCAGCTGTGTTCGGCTCGCGGGCGGCCGAGGGCTCTAACCCTGCGCCGTGTTCCTGTTGTTCCCAGAACTCCATCATTCCCGGCCCCCCGTTCCTGTTCGGAGCGTGCTCCGTGCTGTTGGCGCTGCTCGTTGCCTTGTTTATCCCTGAACACACCAACCTGACCGTGCGATCCAGCGGCTGGAAGAAGCACTGTGGCAGCCACGGCCACCCCCACAGCCCCCAGGCCCCCGGGGAAGCGAAAGAGCCTTTGCTGCAGGATACAAACGTATGACAGGAATGGAGGAGGAGATCGTAGCCTTTGTTTTCCATCAGCGGTTTGGGGGACACGTTCCACTTCCATCCAAAATGCCCTTTCTTGAGGTAACCTTCAGAAGGATCTTTCTGCATGAAATCCATAGGAATGATTATTTTGTAAAAGGAAGTTTCTCCAAAGATGTCACCACTGAGTTAATCATTTGCTTTTAAACACAAACTGTTACGTACTCGTCTCTTGCCATGAAGTTCTGTTACTACTCAACCGTTCCGTGTCGCTCAGAGACAAAACAGACTAGTCCAGGCATGAGCATGTGTCCTTCTGTTTCCTTAAGGTGGTGAGCTTTAATTCCAGTCGTGCCAAGTCTCAGAGAGACACCGTGGCACCCCGGGGACCCCGCCGTAGTGGCGTGAAGTCCTGGGTCGGGTGATTCAAAGCCTTAATGTACATGTACTCCAGGAGGAGCAGGGGAATCGGGATCACGTAGTTGCAGAGGCACAGGGCAGGTGTTTGTTCGTACTAACCTGGAATCACAGGAGCACGCTTGCTGAGCAGTCAGTTACGTTTATGTAAGTGCATTTACTCTTTCTACCCTTGGATAAACGGTAGGAGCACACAGGTGTAAGTGGGTGTTTGGGCCGAGCCTGCAGCGTGTGTTTGCTGCCGGCTCCCACCCTCTGCTTCCCTACGTACCGTTTATTATACCACTGTATTTCTGATGTTTGCATAATCATACAAGGACCTCAGAACTTGAACACAGAGACTGAACTATAAGCTGATATAGCCTTGAATATGTCCGTGTGCTATATAGTGGCCTTTGAGGACTGTCACAATAACCCTTTTGCATTACAGAGCTAATGTTTTAGTCCTAAATTTTCAGGACCCTTAGTACAGGAGAGAGCTTTATACAATTACTGATGTGAATTTCTCTAAAAGTGTATATTTTTGTGTCCAGTTGTATTATTTAAGTGTTCCTTTGTATAAATTTGTGTATAAAGTATTGTATAGGTTTAAAACGTTTTCATCTTGTGGTTATTGCTTAATGCTTTTTTACCTTTGAACATTCACCATGGTTGACCAAGAGCAGGAAAAAAATATGTAAATATCCTGTTAATAAAGTTGAATATTTTAATGAATTTTTAAATAATTGGTCCTGTCTCTTCAGGCCTCACTTGAAGTGTTGTTGGGAGTGGGGGTGTTGCTCTGCAGCGGGTGAGAAGCAGGGAGCAAGGTGAATAAAGTGCTCCTCCAGCATGTACCTCACTGTGCGTGGTCACTGGTAATGCTCCGAAACAGTCACTAATCACAGGTTTTGATAAAAACCATTTAATATTGCCATGGAAACCTTCACATGCCCAACCCAGTGACCATACATGAGCCTGGTGCTGATGTAGAAACAAATAAACACATTTTGCACTGCAAAACAAACCACTTAAATGCACAATCCTCTGGATGCACTTCAATAACTAAGGTGAAAGGTACAAAATAACAACAAAAGTATGTAAAGAGCCATTAAGAAAACATGTGGTTTGTAGGTCACAAGTTCTTGCATCCTTACGCTGAGCAGAAGATGGGACAGAATGGAGTTCTTAGGTGATCTGAGCATTTGGACCCGGGGAGCAGGACGAGCTGAACAGACTCAGTCCCTCTAAACCCAAGTGTTTGTTAGAGTATCTTAAACGTCTGCACAGTCTCACAGTTGTAAAGGATGAGTAGCAAAAGTCACGTAGCTGTTTGCTGTGATGCTCTCCCTGGTTAACTGCTCCTGTGCTCGCCACGTATGTTTTATGCACAGGGGAAGAGAGCCCTGAGCTCAACAGCGAGGTCAGGATAACCAAAAGTGAGAACTCTCCACTGCAGTTTTCAACCATCCGAATTAATTGCCCATCTTTAATATTAATTCCATTATTTGTAAGTCTGGATGCAATCCCAATAAGCAGGTTTTTCAGGTGAAAGCAGTCGCCCGAAGTTACGAGCTTGACCACTGTTAACATCGACAGCACCACCCCCTTCCCAGCACTTTGCATCATCCTTTCTCCGAAAGGAGCCAAGAGGGATTGTCACAAGGGCCCTGGTCTCTCAGGGAATGCCGGCGTGTCCCTCGCTCCTCTCACAAAGCCACACTCCTCAACGCCGACAGTAACAAGGTGAGTGCACTTGAGTGTGTTTTGGGATGACTACAGGCTCTCCAAGAGGCACCTGCGCAGCCGCAGGGCCTTGCCTGCAGCGTTGTTCTTGCCAAGGCTGCAGCTGCTCAAAGCTTTATCTTTCCTTTAGGCTCAAGTATCCTGAAAAGTTACCCGTGTCAGCCAAGACATCTATCCCAAAGCAGATTCAGAGGTACCAAACCCTGTCAGTTCACACCCGTACTTTACTAACACCTTACTACAGCACATCCAGAAATCCCCCGGGGTTAAGAGAGGGCTCTGCCCGCAGGAACCCTGTCTGCTACCCAGGAAAATAGGCTGAGGCTGGTGTTGCTGCAGCTTTCGGTGGCAAGTGGGGTTTCAGATACTCTGTAGAACAGCAGAAACAAGACACTGGTCATGGAAACAGACCCGTTGCTACACTTCAAATAAGGTCTTGTTGTACTATTTCCACACATACATACCTGGGTTGAGCGTATTCTGACTAAGCCCTCGTAAAGGAATGCTGGCATCTTTCTTCCTGAAATACTTCGGATCCAGCCCCAAATTGTCACCACTAGAAAGAAAAAGGCTAATTAAAGTTTAACACACGTTAATGCACTGCTGCCTCCGACAAGCGTGGACACGGCCTCATCCAGGAAATCCTGAACTTCAGGTAGAACTACTGCATTCCTATGAACTTCATCATTTAACAGTGAAGAACAGTCCAGAACTGATCTTTTGACTGACCTGTCACCCCATAGCCTTAGCTCTGTCACCAGGAGGGACAATGGCTTTTTGTTCCTTGGGACTCCCTCCTGAAAGCATGGCTCTTCCCTGGCACCCACAAACCACGCTCAGTGACCAGTTCAGGCTGCCACAACTTACAGTGCATTAACATGTTTGCTGGACGAAGGCAGATCCCAGAACAAGCTTAGCACTGGGAATGTTTTGCTCGGTTCCCGACACACATGGGACACAAATGGCTTTATAAACACACGTCAATAAACAGAAACCCTACAGCCCTAAAAACGCACCGGCCAACACTTACTTCTCCTTATTCGCTGGATGACTGGATGCAGTCACTGTCTGCACATCCGAACATCGGTTCATTTTAGGAAGCTGGGTGTTGAGCTGGACCTGCAGAAACACAGGAGTTGGAGTGGTTCTCCCTTATCCCTCACCCACAGCACTTCTGTGCAGCAGAGCATGCAAGAAGGAGCAACCCCAAACCGAGCATTAGCTGTCGGTAATAGTGACACCATTTCAGCCAGAGGGTGTAAGAGCACTGGGATATATAGTAAATACTAATGCATTTGGAGAAATAGCCAGAACGTTGAACTTGGCCATTTTATGCCGTCCCATTGTGAACCAAACGGAAAAGTCCAAGTGCCTGCCTTCGGTCCTGGGCATTGTGAACTGATGCTTTTGGTGTGTGCTGGTTCTGGGAAGTTCTGGAAGGCATACAGAGGAGAACCGGGCTGACCGACTCCTGAGCTGGGGAAGGAGGGCCGTTCGTGCTGCAAGAGAGAACACACCCGTGAAGGAGGAGAACAGTTCCCGAAGTGACTGTTTAAAGACTCAGAATTCCAAACTTAACAACTAACACCACAATGTTAATGCTTGTCTGAGGCCTCCTGGGAGCAAGAAAACTTTTTCCTTAATGAGAACGTGTGACTTTTCAACAGAGGAATGGAGCACTCGTAGCCAATAACTGTAAGCTCATAATGAGCTGTACAATTACACACTCTGCCACTGATCAATACAGGAACTGTATCCAGCTGTAACTCGGAGACCTCTTGGCATGAATATGCCCTTTCACTACTAAGAAGCTCACCCTCTGCTGGGTGACAACAGTCTGTGCACAGGGGGACGAGGTAAGAACCAATAAGCAGGTAGTGTTCTTACCCCCCTATTTTCATACTTCTCAGTATCACTACTACTAAGAGCACTCAAACAGCACACTTTCAACCTATGGAAATATAACTGGTATGTCAGTAACCTCACAACACAAAATGCCACCCATTTTCTTCCCCCTTCCCCCTTTGCATTATCTTTTCCAAGCTAATTTTGCATTGTTTGTGGATTTTAATAGGTGAGAGCTTAGAAAAGGCTCCCCGGAGGAGGGTCAGGGCGTCGAGCAGCACCCAACAGGGTGTTACTTCAAAACAAAACAAGCCAGAAGAAATTCCCCCAAAAAACGAAGACCAAAAACCCGCCAGAACCCACCACACAGACACACAAACACTAATGCCCAAGGAAGCTAAAACCACTCTGGTTTCTCCTCTTCTAAGCCCATCCGTTTCAGACACCACTTCCCCGCTCCAGCTGTTCTCACCAAGCCATGAGGGGAGGTGGCAGCCCTGACGCCAGCGTGAGCACTTGCACAAGCCTCCAGCTTCTTTGCCATCTGGATTTCATTCAGCTGCTTGTTTAACCACGTGATTACTGAAGAGAGAAGACAAAGGCCAAGCTCACGTCCTACCTCTTCCGAGCTGGTTACACCAGCGAGCAGCCCTTCCCCGAAAAACAAATGACAGCCCAGAGAGGTTTTTCCCCTCTTTAAGCTCAAGCAGCTCTAGAAGCCCTGGTCTCACTAGAAGCCCTTTTGCTCCAGGTTCCTCCACCCCTACGTGCCATCCCGTCCCTCCTCCAGCATCACCCCACCACACAGACGACCCCAAGCACCACAGGAAGCTGTGTCTACCTGCACCTCTGGGTTGTTGCATGCCCACCACAGACAGAAGTTTATTTTCCATGAACAACCAGAATCTCTCTAGCAAACAGCAGCACGGGTGAAGCGCTGTAGCTGCTCCCGTTACTTTTCAGTAGCAGACAGATCCCAGGTCACTGTTAGAGAGGGAGAAAGCACAGACCCACCGTTCTCATTGGTCTTCAGTAACTGCTTGCTTTCCTCCAGCTTCTGCATGGTGGTTTCCAGCTGCTCCTGCAGCTTGCAAACCTGCAACGTTCCCATAAGAATGACAAGACCATCAGGTGCTGCTACAAACTGGAGTCGTTCTAAAACCAAAGAAGTCCAACCCCAGTATTTTACAGGAGCAGGATGATAACTCTTTTCAGACAAGCCCTATTTTTAGTTGGGGGCAGCCAGAAACCTTTCTGACCTTCATTTCTTTTTAGGATTAAATAATGCAAAGACTAAGCAGGGGAATATATATTTAATGGCAGAAGAAGTTCACCCTCTTCCTGCCTCCTTCCCCAGCAATGTGCCCTCTGAAGGATGTCAGTTCATCCACCGCACTGCTTTGTACTCGGAACAATCCAGTTCTGTTCCGTGCCGGTGGATGGCTCTTCCCAATCGGTTTAAAATGAAATAATCGGAAGCTGATTACACATTTAAGTGTGTTGAACTAGAAAAGTACGTTCTGTTCCATGGGAAGATTTAAGAACCTATTGCTGGAAGTTAAAACCCACCACCAGGAACACGTAAAGGAGAGGGTTAACCTGACACACTACCTCCTGCTCCTTCACTCGCAGAGACTGTCCCAGCTCCTGCAGTTCCCTCTGCTCTTTCTGAAGTCTCTCTTCTTTTTCTGCCAGGAGCTTTTCCTGCTGGATGGTTACGGTGTTTTTCAGTTTCAATTTGCCCAGCAGAGTTTTCAGATCTCCCTGTAACTTCTTGATAATTTCATTGGCCTGTGTAGAAAACAAATCACCAGGTACTGTCACGATGAGGAAACCCCTGCACCCCAGGCAGACGTTTCACATGGATGATGTTTGCTCGGACAAACCTTAAGCAGTTCAGCTGACAGCGACTTAATGGTTGCCTCCAGTTTTCCAATATGACCTTGTTTTTTCTCCGTGCTCTCCTCCAGGATCACCTTTAAAACAACATGGAGAACACTGTTGGAAAGATGTGACAGACCTCGCTGGTGATTTCAAGGAGCTCCTCGGGAATTCTGAGAACTGATCTTTACACGAAATTCACCCATCTTTCTGCTCACAAGAACTAGCACTAAGTGTGCTCCAGTACCACAACACTAACACGGTAGCAACCCCTGTGAAACTGAACCCAGTGTGCTTTTTATGCTGTAATTTAGAACCCTGAATTCCATCTGAAAGCTTCCTTGCTGTATCCAGAAACACTGGTCAGCTGCTAAGCTACGGAGGCTGCACTTCAGGTTCTACAGGGCTTTAGAGGAATCGATTCTGAACCGTGAAGGAACCTTTTGTTCTTGTGTGGCATCCAGGACTTCTTTGGTTCTAATAACGAGCTGATCTTTGTCTTTGATCTCTTGCTCCAGAACAGCAACCCGTGTCTGCAGCTGGTTGATGAGCTTCTCTTTTTCATGGCACTCAGCATCCAGAGTAGTGTTCTCCCGGCGCAGCGACAGCACCTCCTGCTTTGCTCTCTGACATTCCTGAAGTGTTGTTGGGAAGGAAAGTGACCTTTAAAGAAAACCTGCAGCAGTCATTTAAACAGATGTATCTAAATAGTAACATAATGTGAAATGAACAGAATTAATATGCTGTATTTCCTATTACGTGCATAGGCAGGGTGAATGCTCTAAAACTAGGAAGGCTGGTTACAGCATATAAAATAAAGCATACATACTTCTTCTATCCCAGAAAGCTTGGCTTTCAGCTCCCTGACTGTAGAGTCTCCTTTGTATCTCCTTTCTGTCAGATCCTTATTGATGACCTCAAGTTCTGAGAGTCTGTTCTGCAACTGCTGAATACTTTTCTGATGCACATTTTCCAGCTCCTTTTTCTGTTGTTCATGCTGTTGTTGGTACTGAGCTTGTGCCTGTGAGGAGCAAAGAAACCCAGTAGTTATTCAGTGAAGCTGAAAATAAAGCCAAGGAACTTCCACATGCAAGAACATTGTCAGTTCTTCTCTGCTGCCATACCTGGAGAGCTCTCTCCTTTTCACTCGTCAGCTCCTGAGTGTGCCTGTTTGTTAGAGCTGTAGTGTGTGATGTCCACTCGTGCTTCAGTTTGTCAAGCTCCCGGTTCCTCTCTGACAAGCTCTGTTGAAGTTTGACATCGCAAACAGAGTTTTACACATTTGAGCGTTTCAGTCAGTGCTGAATGATTCTTTAGTGCTACTTCTTAAAAAAAACAACACATGGAGTTCTTAAGAGAAGTCTCAATTTCGGCACCAGATGTCAAAATATCTCTAAACAGGGTAATTTAACAGAATTTAAACATCACTGTGTAAACAGGAATATAAGGCACTGAGAAGCTAAAGAACTGGATAAAAGAACCTTCATTTCCAACTGGATTTTCTTCCAACCACTATTTAGGAGTGAACATAAGTATCCGCTGATGTTCCCTACCCTTGTAACACAAAGTGCTCTAGTATAGTATATAACTTGTGCGGATGCAGACAGACCTCTGCTCCAAACGAGGCGAGATCCTGGTCTGGTGCTCTAAAGCCCACATTTCATTCTCCAGTGGCACACTCAGTCTGCTGGAGCTTCTCTTAAGAACAAGCAGACTTTCTTCTTTTCACTCACCCAAAGTCAGTTCGGTGGCCAGGGAGCTGCCAACCAACCAGCCCACAAGTAGGTACATCTTCCAGAGATAAAAACAAATTGCAGCCTACAACAGGGAAGGTAAAGCTGCCTGTTACCTGTTGAGTGTAGCTCAGTTGTCTGGTAAGATCCTCTTCAGTTTTTCTAAGCTTGTCTTCCAACATCAGCTTGTCTTCCTATGTAGAAATAGACACCAAGTCAAAACCTTGGTTCCCAAAATACAAGCAGTATTTAGGTTCCATTTCATCAGCACACCCTGCCTAAGCAATCACATAACCACTGTACTTGTGGAAAAATCATCTTATTAAATAAACTTCACACTCAGTAAGATTAAAATAGATTTAAAAGGCATTAGCCACAAGGTAAAACCCCTGATAAACTCTTACCAATTTTCCATAAGGAAATAGTATCTTATCATAAAGTCTTGTTTACAAAGGAGTTGCATGAACAACAGATCTACTGAACTCCTGTGAATGTATGGATTGAAATGGTTTATAATCATGACAGGCCAGTAAGGGAGACAAATCCCAGGCTATGAAACTGAACAGGCAACAGCCAAACTATGAGACCATTAACTTCTCTTTCAGTAATACCTATCAAGCTACAAGTGCACCAACATCACGATCTTAGTTTGCTATTTACAGCCCTCTGAAGTCCCCAAAGCCTCAGAATTACACCCAGAGGCAGGCTTTCCTAAAGCAACTGCACAGCGAAGAGCATGAAAGCTTACAGGGCTTTGTTTTTGCTGTTGCTCTGGCAATGAGCACAAGCTGAGACACTGAAGCATTCACCAGCTGCACTCCCCATGCACTGCAAGTGTAAAATACCTGATTTCCTGCCAGCTTGGCTGAATACACACGTAGCGTTTTCCTTGCTGAGTGACAGTAACAGTTTAGACCTAGAACATGCACACAAATAACTGCGTGCAATGACATATATGAGCTAAGGTAAAATAATACACCAGAGCATGCAATTTGGTAAACACTTCTGAAGTATTCAGACAGACAAAAACGCTCAGGTACACAGAGCTTCAAGGCCCAGAGACAGCTATGACAGTTCTTCATTTTACCTTAAGGCTTTTCAAACAGCTGGCTAAAAACTTCTTTATTTCTGCATCATTTCCCGGTAGGAATTTGAGGGAGAGGTGGGTGAGGTGTTTAAAAGGGTTTGTCTCCACTACGTTCAAAGAGACAGGAGCGTGATCTAGAACAGATGCTGAAGAAACTAACTGCAGCAAAAACCTAGGGAAAGCAGAGGAATAACCAGATGTTTAGCACATTTCTTTTCCTGAAACTACCTACAGATCCTACAAGCTATTTTCAAATAACATGTATTTTTGTATGTCCAAGGAAAGACTGTCCAGCTTTCGTCAGAACTATGAAATGCAATCCCTGTGTCGTAGTTAATGCTACAAACAAGTATCAACCAAAATGCCTCCAACTTAGAATAAGAAATATACAAAACTAATCAGTTTAGTTGTGCAATTTTCAGAAGCCCATCTCAGGAGCCCAAAACCAAGCAAGGCCTTTGCAACCAAACTGCAGAGGAAAGCAGCCTCCTGACTTTTACGTGTCCTACAGCCTAGGAAAATTCCTAGCCCCCAGCAGACACTTCAGGAAATGGCCTGACTCCTGGAGTGGAGCTCTGTGCTCTGCACAAGGCTTCCCCTGGTACCCAAACCAAAACAACGTGGGACAAGGCTGCCACGGGAAGAGCAGAGCTCAGGTTGTTCCCCTCACACCTTCAAATGTGAACACTGAAATGACAGACAGACAGAGAGAGAGGAAACCATCCTTGCCAGAACGCCTTATAACTGCCTTCTCCTGTCAAACAGAATGCCACGGAATTCAGAGCAGCTCTCTAGCACTAAGTGTTCTAACAACAGGAGCAGTGCTGCACCCTTGCCCATCTGCCCGCTTGAGAAGCTTGTCAGCTCCAGCTCAGATGGGGAGACCATCACTGGACATCAACCCCACTGCTCTGCCCCCCCCAAGGTAACTACCACCAGCTGCTGCTCAGACACGTCCCTTGTTTTCCCAACCCTTCTCCAGTGGAGCAGCTGACAAGTGCTTTAAGAACTCCCCCCATGCACACACAGTGACACGGCTCTCACTCACGACCTACCTTGGGATATCTTTATTCTGTTCCTGGATGCATTGCTGAAGCAGATCGATAAATTTTTGTGGGAAAGCAGAGAAGTCCACCAGGAGACCCTGCTGGGACTTCAAACTGCAGAAATAGGGTGAGAGGGAAAAAATTAACAATATACAGAAGTGTCATTCATTTCCTAGAAAGTATTTTGTTTATACCTGTGGAAAGAACTAGTTCTGACCGTGTCATTAAAGTTCACCAGCAGATGAACTGGTTTCAATCCTGAACACAGAAGAAATATAATCACATCTTGGAGAGTAATCAACAGGTATTTTTGTCTGCACCACTTCAAATAAGTTATTGTGACACAACAAATGTGCTCCTTTGAGTAGATGTCTTCCTCACAGCACTGAGCAGACAGGGGCACATGAGAGAAGCGAAGGACAATGAGGGTGAGACTCAGCCTTGATCAAGACTTTATCCAAACAACAAAGCAGAAAACTGAACTGTTCATGCCAGGTGCCCAAAGCTGGTGACCAAATTCTGAGCAAGTAAAGTAAACTGAGACTCAGCAATGTAATGAGCATGCAAGAAACCCATAAGACACAAGCTCAGGTCTGTCTGAGAGTCCATGTCCAGGCGAACAGACCTTCCCCTTGCAAATATTGCTTGGAATACTTGGAATACTTCACACACATCCAACAGTCTATGAGAAGTAGTTAGAATAAACAGAAGATGCCAGTCGGAATATGAACTGTGGGACTGCAGCTGTGCAGGAAAGATAACATCAGGGTTCTGTCACTGGTCTGGATAAACCTGAGCCAAATCATTTTGCTGTTTCCCTGAGTGGCCAGGGAGAACGATGCCACCAAAACACTGACAGAACTCTGCAGGAGAAAAGTGCCAAGCCCAAAATTCTGTGATAACCATTCTAAGCTAAAAATACCCCTCATTCTCTGTTGTCATTTGGAAATGATTCACAGACAAGACAGGACAACATCACTTACCTTTGAAAATCCTCCTCGGATATGACAAGGTTATAAAGGAAAAAAGGATCGCTATCATCAGTCAATCGAACAGCTAAATCCTGAGGACAGACATTTAAACATGATTTAAAATACTAGAAACCACCCCGGAGGATTGTTTAAACATTGTAAACCAACACTGCAAACAGTATTTGATGTTTTTACTGTTTAACCACGCGTAAGATACAACTGTGGCAACTCAACTGAAGGTGGAAACCGCCAACATTTAACACAACTTCAAATGTTACAGGGGGAAAACAGAGAAAACTTCCTCACAAAAATAAACCAAGCAAAAATCTTCAACTTTGAGCAGCTTTGAGGCTTCAAAGTCCAACATGTCTTCAGCATTTTGCAGGAAGAAACCTATGTGCTGTTTTTCCCCATCATGAAACAGCGCTGGCAGCCCACTGTAATGGATCACAAACGCATCATTCCCACAACTGGAGGGTTTTCATAGCCTACTGCTCCTAGAAGTTTAGGAAACAACCTCCTGAAGAGTTTATGTGTTTGAGTACGCTCCTATGGAAACCTGTAGCATTATACAGCTTACACATAAACCACGAAAGATTTGCTACATAAAGGATATAACCTCCAATAGTAATCTCACTGCTCTTTTTCCTGAGAAGGAAGACTTCCTCTTACCCCAAATTTAGTACATCCTCCCTGCCTCTGCTGGCTGAACCCCGAACATTCAGAGACCAACGCTCAGCAATAAAAACCAGAACATAACATCCATCCACAAGTTGGTGTTTTGGCTAGTCAAGATGAGAGTTCTGCAAAGACAACTGCTGCTCCACATTCCTTAGTGCTGAGCACACTGGCTGCTCTCAAGCTCTCACCGGGGTTCCGTTGAGGGTCTCCAAATACTTTCAATTTGTGAGTGTACTACAACCCATGAGCTGCCAAACTGAGGGGGCTAAAAGGCTGGAAAACACCTACCACACCAAATCAGCTACATTACTCAGGAAATTACACCAAAAATGAAGCAAGCTCAAGTGACAGATATACTAATATCCTACTTTGGTTTTGCTTTGCCCATCTGCCCTCTTATACAGTGAAATTGAGATTAATACCTAGTGAATGACACATATGTAACTAAATCCACAAACCTTTTTATGAACAGGATTAGAAATTGACAGTAGCTCAATATTCACCCGAACATTCAATCTCCTGTGTACAAAAAAAAGATGAAGCTTAGTAACAGATCAAGAAAACAATATCCAAATAACATTGTTCACAGCTATATTACAGGAATCAGATGACATTCCAAACCCCAAACTTACGCAGACATATCAAGGAAGTGTCCACTGATGACTACTACTGAGATAGTTGAAAGCCCCACAACCTCCTGAGCTCCTCAGGCTTTATATTGCTTGCCATCTGCCAAACTCTCAATAGCAAGGTTTGAAACTTTGCCCAGAAGCTGGAACCTTTGCAAAAGCCTGAAGTTTATTAACAACTGCTGAAGCTTTTGCTAATCATTTGTACTGTGCTACCCCGTCTTCATTTACCTCTTACTGAGTGATCCATCCAAGAAGGTACTTGCATTACAGAATACACTCAGACATCAGCCATCCTGTGCCTCCTAACACAGGAGAGCCAGAGCAGCCCCAACGCCTGCTCACACAGTCTAACCCAGGTAGGACCTGTATTACTGAAATTCACTGTGTGCTGAACAGACACTTCACAGTGAAATTCACTCTGTGTTAAGCAGATGCTACACATAAAACCTGGACACGCTGGAGAGGTGGCCAATGCC